GCCCACTTTTTCCCAACTAACCTGGGCTGTAAATAGTATTAGTGATACGTACGTAATTTACAATCGTACACCCGTTTTCTTGTATGAATTTGGGTAAAACTTGTACAAAGAATACGAATTGTATTTTTGAAATAAAAAAGTACCTTCTATATACAAAATTACTAAATTTTAATAAGATAATAACAGTGATTTTTTACCTTTTACGAAAAATGTTGAATTGTCAAATTATACCGAAAGATACTTTTTTTAGGTAGCTATAAGGTAAAAGCCCCAATAGATGATCATGTACCAGTATATGATCACTCCATGTATTTGTATACCTATATTTGTGAATAGAGATATACAAATAGATGGAGTGATCATGTACTGGTACGCGATCATCTATTGGGGCTTTTACCTAATATAATTCCTTATTTTACATAAAATATTATATTTTGTTGTATTGACAGTTTTTTTGGATTAATAAATGAGTAATTTCATCCATTTCATTTTCTTTCAACATATCATCATCATCATTATCAACATCATCATCATAATCTTCTTCTTCATCATTTTCATATTACCGTTATTGTTGCTATCATCATTTTATTGCATTCACAGATTATTCCGATCAATCAGTAACTAATTTCATTGACGTCAATTTCTGTTGACTTATTTTTTTAATCCAATTTACGTGAGTTTATTAATTTTCATAAAGATGTAATGGCGCATTTTTTTTTTACAAATCGAAGTTAAAAAAATAGTTATTTTTTTATATTATTTAATATCTATCAAAAACTCTTTTCCGTGAATTTTGGGATTTTTGTGATTATTCGTCCAATAGAATAGAGAAAAAAAATTTTTCTAAATTTGAAAAAAAAAGTAACTATCATAATCTTATAATACCTCAGACATGACATTTTTTGATGAATTGAAATTCAGAGGAAAAAAATTGTAAGAAAGTCGAAGAGTAAATACAGCTTAAGAAGTAAATTTAAAAGAAATTAACGAAATGAGGCGAAAAAAATTTTTCTTTCCTTAATATTTATCTTTCATTAGTTAAAATTAGTATATTACACACCGAGGGAACTCTTCTTTCTTATTTACTTCCCGAGGAGTGTATGCTATTTTCTTGCTCGACGAAGGCAGAAAGTGGCAATTTCGTTTAGCGCAGCGGGCCGAAATTTGACGCTTTCTGCCCGTCGAGCAAAAAAAATTTTTTTTTTTGTTTAAACAATTTCATTACTTTTAATTTATTATTTCCTCAGTAATTTTTGAATGATAAAATTGTGTTTCTCTATTCTTAAATTCAATCTTAGTGAAAATAATAACACTACAGAGCTAGAAATTTTTTCATTAGATTTTTTTAATTCGATTTTTACTCGTATGGAAAAACGGGTAATTGTGGTTACAAATCAATAAATACCAATGAGAAAAAAAAATTTTTATTCAAAAAAACGATAAATAAAAAAGTTGATATTTTCAAAAATATGGTAGCATTTTAAAAATGCCATGAATCGGTTCATCTTAAAGTACCGGGTTTAAGTCACGGACAACCGTAAATTGACAAAGATAATATCCCATTACGCAGACCAAATGATCTTTTAACTTAGTTGACAATTGCTTAGGCGCCAGGTGATGAACAGTCTAGACAGAAAACCTGATGACTTACTTACTGAACGTAATTAGGCTCGGTATAGTTCGACTAGGAAAACGAATATAATATATTCATTTCTCATTGTGCCGGTGCTGTAACTAGTTTGTACAAAGAGTGTTCGGTAGCTGTATTTCTGTGCAATTTTTCGATAATACATATCGTAAATTTATCAAACATTGAAGGGTAAGTTTTTATGAATAAAAAATTTATAATATTAATTTATGTATTAATCAAAGTGATTTTTGATTTTTTTTTCATATTGAAAAAAAATTAGTCAAAACTTATTTTTCCTTTGATTCAAAATTAAAAAAATTTGAATAATTATAACCCGAACATATAGTGAAAAAATTTTATTTATATATAAATATTAGTTTTTTTGATTTAATTACTTTTATAAATTATCAAATATTACTGACTAGTACTATAACTTATAAAAAAATGTGTAAATATTATTCCGAATAACACGTTATTCAATTATATAAAAATAATTTTTATCAATTTTAATTTCCCTTAATTTACCGCGGGTAAAATTACGTTCATACGATTAAAATTTAAAACTTTTTTCTAACATAATATAATTTTTTATCAATGAAATTTCTATCAATTCTTTGTAATTTTAATTCTTGAAAAAGAAATTTATTTTAAAAGTTATAACAATTATTTAAACAAGAAAATAATCTGGCTGATAATTATTATAAAGTATTTTAATAGTTTACTTTCGATTTCATCTCAATATATATGATCACTTAGAGACATGTTAGGGACATGTTAGAGACATCTCAGGGGATCAGGAAGTGGTAATTCGTAGGAAATTTCCTACTTGCTACTTGATATCAATTTGTCGTAATTTATCACAAATTTGAGATTAAATACATTAGAAATAGACTTTCTTTGTTGCTGTAAGATGGACAGCGGAGTTCTCGGTCAACCTCACTTTCCTTCTCTCCTGAGCGTGCTGGGACGTACGCTTGAATGTTTATTTCTAATGTATATATAACTCAAATTTGTGACAAATATAACAAATTAATAGCAAATATAAAATTTTTAATGTTATGCTACTAAATACCTACTCCTACAAAATCCCCAGATGTGCTTACAGAGCACTGGGTAGAAGTAAGGTAAGCTAGGCCGAGAAGCACCGCTGTCCATCTTACAGCAACAAAGAAAGTTTATTTCTAATGTATATATAACCAAATTTGTGATAAATTACCACAAATTGATATCAAGTAGCAAGTAGGAAATTTCCTACGAATTACCACTTCCTGATCCCCTGAGATGTCTCTAACATGTCCCTAACATGTCTCTAAGTGATCATATATATTGAGATGAAATCGAAAGTAAACTATTAAAATACTTTATAATAATTATCAGCCAGATTATTTTCTTGTTTAAATAATTGTTATAACTTTTAAAATAAATTTCTTTTTCAAGAATTAAAATTACAAAGAATTGATAGAAATTTCATTGATAAAAAATTATATTATGTTAGAAAAAAGTTTTAAATTTTAATCCATAAGTTAGAATTTTACAAAAAGAACTGATCTAATGTTGTTTATTTCAACGATTCTATAACGATAAACGAATATGCAAATAAATAAATAATTGTTATGACAACATGAGTGTGAATAAAAATAAATAACATCAACTCGTTTAATTTTAATAACATAAATGGCATTAAAAGCGTTAAATTTGAATTACTCATTTAACACAGACAAAAATATATTATAAAACTTGAAATTATAATTTCATAATTTCGAATTTAATTTTTTTTGTACATTAATAGTATTTGAATTATTAATCATGAATAGTTTTTTTTGTTTAAAAGAAAAATTTTCAATAAACTCGTCTTATATATCCTTTAAGTTTTAGACAAAAAAAAATTTACGTAATTCTGTTATTCAAAGCATTAAATCCCTGCTTATAATTAATATCATACATCTTAGTTAGATAGTTGTCCAGTATATTCTTCCTAAGTTCAACTGTAGCGTTTCCCTTATTCTTGAAATTGAAGTTAGAGAATTCACTGTAGTGGACGAGATCGTCTACATTTTTCTGATGTAAAGTAGTAGGGAGACAAAGTCTTGTAGAGAGGGGAAGAAAGTAGGAGAAGCGAACGTACATAACAATTTACATTGAGATTTCTCGAGTTCTAAAAAAAAAAGGAACAATAAATGATTGTTTGCAAAATGATAGTTTGAAAAAAATAAAAAATACACTTTAATAGAAAACTCAATTAATTTAAAAACTTGAAAATAACATTTACATAATTAATAAATTTAAAATAAGAAAAGAGTGATTAATAAAACCCGAGTCAAAAAAATTAGAAAAACGGTTGAACCTTAAGGCCATCCTTGCAACAAACGGTCAAGCCGTTCAGAAGTTATAAGAGGTTTACACACACACACACACACACACACACACACACACACACACACACACACACACACACACACACACACACACACACACACACACACACACACACACACACACACACACACACACACACACACACACACACACACACACATACAGACGTACGGACATCATCGTAAAAATAGTCAGGAAAGCCTCGTAGGGCTTCAAAACGTCGAGATCTGTTGAAACCTCGATTTTTGCAAAACGGGGTGAAACCAATTACTTTCCGATTTTTCGAAAATCTTCGATTTTCTTAGCGGGAAGTTAAAAATGAACTTAAATGAGCTAACATCAATTGTATTAATATAGCAGTTGAGTTCATTTAAGTTAACTTTTTCAACTCGGGAAAATTCATTTAATCGTAAAAAAGCGTGGGGTGCTTGATAATAATTGTTATAAATATTTTATAAGTGGAAATTTATAAAAGTACAATCATAACAAAAAAAAATTTTAAAAGTACCCAATACTTTATTTACGATAGAATGGATTTTTTTGTTCATCACTCTATTTTTATTTTAATCTTATTGGAAATCGTTCAGAATTGTTTTCGTATTGTAGTTTTATTTGAAATTAAATCGTGTTTTTTACACTATAATTTATTTTCCAATTTTTTATTCTTATTAAAACTTAAAATCGCTGAATTGTAATATTTTAACTAATTCGAAAAACGACCTTTCTTTTAATAATTTAAAATAGGAAAAAAAATTTTCAGCCTAATCAATAAGAATCGGGTTTAAAATTGATCGATTTGGCATGGAATGCCCCACATAATATGAATGTATGGAATTGAATCTTTCTAGGTCACTCTTATCGACTTTTAAACGTCTAATTGATTTGAAAATTAAGAAAATTTTGCACTATTATTTTTTAAATCCTTTTATTGTTTAAAATAATCAGCTTGTAATGTCATTATTTTTCAGATTACAACAAGTTCTGAAAAAACAAAATGGCGGAGATCCCACATATTAAAATAGAAAAGATCAACATCTCAACCGTCAAGGTCTTATTACAGAAGCCAAACGTCTACGTCAACACAATCTTCCCCATACGAAACGTACCTAATCGCTCTACATCTCTACTAAGCGTCGCCGTAATGAAAGAAGATTACGAGCTGATAAACTATTTGGTATCTAAAAACGCTGATATTAATTTGCACACTCCCAAGTGTGAAGCACCTGTAATTTTAGCCGTTAAAATCGGAAACATAAAAATTATTAGAAAATTACTCGAGCTGCGAGCTGATGTCAATGTATATAATCAGAAAGGTGAAATGTCACTTCACATTGCTGTGCAAAAAAATCGACACGATATTGTGAAGTGCTTGGTAGCAAATGGAGCTAATATAAATGCTCCAATTTTCGGATCATCAATATATTCTAGTTTGCGTCCACTGCATCTTGCTGTAGTCTCTAGATCAGAGGATATGGTCAAATTGCTCTTGGACGAAAACGCCGACATCAATGCCAAGACATCAATAGGAGAGACTGCTCTCGTGAAAGCTGGCTTGAACGATGACATTGCGATGACCAAGTTCTTAATTGCACGAGGAGCTCATTGCATTAGCGTTTGTCCGAACCAAACGATAATTCATGATCTGCTGTGTTATTTAAAACATACATCAGTGTTGGAATATCTTTTAAGTTTGGACGAATCTTTCACTGACATCAGCATCCGCACCAACTCAGGAGAATCATTTCTGATGTTCAGCTTGGAATATGGTTATGGAAACCAACCGTGAAATTTCCAAATTGCTTCTTGATGCTGGAGATGATGTTGATGCTGTAAATTCGACGGGTCAACTCGCCATTGATTTCGAAAAAAACCGTAATGTTGGTATTTCGGTCATCGAGGAGCACATTGTAAAGTTAATATCGGCTGGATTTGACGTTTCCCCAAGAAATCGACTAACTGTGGCAGAAGGGTTCGAAAGTTTTCACATCAATTGTTGTGAAGAGGTCAAAAAAATGAAAATGAGCAAAGTTGGTACTAGTCAAGTATCATTTTTCAATGTCTTATTGATGAATGTGCATGATTTGTCAGTTCGTTTGAAGTACGTAAGTTTGAATGGAATGGTTGACAAAGAAAAAATACTTAGTGAGTATTTATACTACGGAGGAATGCTTTTTTATAAGTTATCCAAGGTCAATCGCAGGATCAAATATTTGGGACAGATAGAGAGATCCGTCGAGAACATGCTATGCTCTGCACCGCTACTACTGCCTTATAATTTTGTAAGAGATTTGTGGTCCTACTTCAGAAATTACGAATTGAAAAAATTATCTTCGTGAAAAAAACTGACTGAACCTTGTTATTGTCATTTATCTATTTCGATCAAGGCAGACTGATACTTTATTTGTTGTATATTTTGTTAATTATTTTAATATATTTATTTTGAATAAGCTCAATGTGTTTAAATTTTATTTCGACAATATCCATCTCAAAGAACCTTTATATCCTCATAAAAATCTATTAAATTGTAAGATAAATAAAATGACACCAAAAAAGTTATTTTTTTATAATTTAAAATAAAAAAAATTTTCTCTAACAGTCATGGTAACCGAAATCCTCAAACTTCTGTCTACAACCACCAAGTAAGTTCAAATTTTTTTTAACTTTTACGTTTAACAGTTTTTTTTTTTTTTTTTTTTTTTTTTTTTTTTAAGAATTACATTATTTACATGGTATTTTTTTTATTCCATACCTTTTCATAAAGAATAAAGTTTTTTTATTTTATGTTTGTGATCGACAAAGTTATAATGAGACGGTTACAAATAATCGCCAGTAACAAAATAAATTAAAATTAAAAAAAAGAGTACATTTTAGAGGGAAAATTTTTAATGATATCGAAAATATATATCAAAAAAACTAATTATTTTGTTGCGTTCAATCGTCATTATCATTTTCACATCACTATTATTGTAATTGCCATCATCATTTTCATATTACTATTTTAGTCATCATCATCATCATCACTGTCATTGGTTGATAAGCTAATTTAGCTATATCATGAGATGTATATAATATTTAAAAAAATTTTACTTGTAGGATATTTTATTATGAAGATAATTCGTCGGGGATTTTTTGTCGTTAAGGAGTAATTTTTATATTTAAGGAGATGACCTATATCATAAGAAAATTGCAGTGCGTTTCTCTATTCGCTCGGCCCTGGAATTCCTTGGATAACTGATGAAGTGTTTGACCGTAGTAATATCATTGTCTTCTTGACTTTTTAAAGTTCCTTCAATTTTTAGACTCCACATGATAGACTTACTTTCTTATTCCAAAAAACTTATTCTGAAGATAACCGGTTGTCACACGTCAAGAATTTCATGTTATTCACCTCTTTATCTTGGTCTCTTTATCATCATCGTCATCATCATCATCAGATGATTGCCTTTTTTCAGAAAGATTCGGCCATAATGGAATAAAATCGTAGAAAGGGAATGATGACTTAAAATGAGCAATTGTAAATTATCGATGGGTAGTTTCTTGGTGGATACTAAAAAATATCAAAAAATTACAAAAATAAAATAAAATTTCAAACTGTCTGATTTTGCACGGAATGTCCCATATTATGCTGTACAAATGTCACACGAAAATTTTGTTTTCAATACTGAAAGTTGTTTTTTTAATTATGGATTAGATTACCATCTCTATTTTTTATTTATCACTAATACTGTACAGTTACATTCGGCTTTAATGATGCATTAATTTTATCCTGGACCTCATCATTCAAACAATTAAGTTCTATTTTCACAAAACTTCTATTCGAAAAGCGCATGCATTATAGATGTACTACCTCGCCAACTTAGCAATATATTCTTGGCCTGAAATGCATGCAAATATGTCTAATATTCAGTATGATCGTCCGAGTATTGATGCTGGTAAATCATTCAAATTTGTCATCACTTTAGAATAAATCTATTTGGTGTATTTCATCCTCGAAATCAGACGCATAATACGTTTTGACTCATATGTGTGGTATTCCATTATCTACGGAATCTCTGTTGAGGTTTCTCGAAAATTCACTACTGATCTCATGTTTCCACAATGGATAAACGAAGAAGAGAAATACGATGAGGAAGATAGCAAAATAGTTTGATTCAAGTAGAAATACAAATCCCGTTTATATTTGCCAGTAAACGTTATTCCACTGCTACCGCTTACACTGTTAGCTACAAATAGAATGCTCAAGGTATTCGCTAAATTTTTCAAATTCTTTTCAAATATTTATTTGCTGTTATTCTTATTATTATTTTACAGTTGAACAATACTTAAATATTTACATATCCATCCTAACGAAAAAAAGGGGAACAATTTATTTTGACAATTGACTCAGATTACTTCCAAAGATTTTCGCTTGGAAAATCCTTTATGCTCATGGAACCCTTTAAATCAAATAGCTGTAAATTCTAAATTCGTATTATTGTTCATCCGTTGCGGAGCATTATTGAAATAATATTTACTTTCGACTTGCAGTTCCATCATAACAATCTCTGTTTATCTTACCCTAGATCTTTAGTGATTGATCTGCTGACATTTAACCGTTCGATAAAGAATATTCAATAACAAACCAACCAAATGATCACAAGAAACAATTGACCTGTAAAGATAAGCTTTAAATTGTAAAAGTACAACCCGCTTATCAATGACGGGGGCATCTAATCCTCAATGATTCATTGAAGGGGAGCGCCAAGATAGTAACAAGAACATGATTGTTTTTTTTTGTATTGATTTTGATACGAGTGAATAATCGAATAACATCGAATAAACTATGATAACACTTCGGTAAAAGAATTTAAAAAATTCGAAAATCCAATTACTAAGTTAATTAAAATTTTCCATGATACAGAAAATTAATTCATGGATTAATTGAGGGTAGTAATCCTATAAATGTTAAATATTTGATAATAAATCTGATAAAATAATTTAGAGCGTGGGATAAAGATCAGATAAACCCAGTAAAGCATGTTTACGATACACAGTATCGCTTTTGGAGTATCACAGTGTTGGTCAATTTTGACAACAGTGTTTGACAATCGTGGTTGAGAAGATAAAACACACAGATACACACGTGAAAGAAGGCAGTAAAGAGTAAGTCTTGGTGAGAGATGAACTTGAGGTTGGCTTGCGGCAACGATCTATATCTCTCCGGAGTTTCTAACCAACCACTAGAACTAGAAGCACCGGCACCAGCACCAGCCCCAGTCTCCTTACTTGGATGGGAATGAAATGAAGGGACTTGGGACTCGGGCTCTGGATTGTCATAGACGATACACTTTCTTCTTCCTTACTCTCTTTATCCTTTGCCCTCTTGTTTTCTTATCTCATATTACATTGTCTCTTTTAGCAAAAGCATGTACGGCTATAGATATATATTTCACCCCAACTCTCTTTTTTTTCCGTCTCACTCACTCATCCACATCTATTTTGTTTTCCCTCGCTGTTTATTTGCCGACAGTTGAACCACTTTCGCTATTTTCATCCTGTCCTCACGATCACTTTCTTGACATTGTGTTTTTACTATCGACCATCTTCACTCAAGTTCTTGAATACACAATGTATTTTTCTAAACGTACATATATGTTTATTTTTATGTTTATTCTAACGTACAATACTTTACTACCCAGTACTTCCAATTGTAGTTCATTTATTTGTTATAACAGAGTTGAAATAAATTCAAATTAAATTCTGGGTTCTGTGTAACTACAGACTGACATTTATAAATTTGCATTCATTTATTTTCCAGTATATATATATATATATATATATATATATATATATATACTCGAAATTTAACTAATGAGAGTGCACGTTTATATTTTCAATAATGAACAAATTACTAAGTCTTTAATAATTGGTGGAAAATGAATACATAAATCATTCCATAAATAATTAATTTCATGAAAGTAAAGTCTCGATTGAATTAAAGTAATACAGTCGATACTGCAAAACCCAAATTTCAAAATAAGTCTTTTGGTGTACGTATAGATTTAATCTTTTATTTATTTGATAAGTTTTATTGATCACTGCCCACATACTCTAAATCTGTTTTTTCAATTATGCAAAATATTCAATATGTTATTTCCTTTCATTAACTATATTTTAATTGATCTCTGAATTTTTTTTTTTGTGAAATATAACAAAAACTATGATTTCTCATAAGACTCAATATTAACCTAAACACATACATACACACATACATACATACATACATACATACATACATTCATACATACATACATACATACATACATACATACAGACAGACACCATCACGGGAATAATCAGGGAAGCTTCCTAGGACTTCAAAACGTCGAGATCTGCTGAAAAAAATTTGTGGGGCTTTCCTCATCTCTCGACCAGAGTCGTAAGTAGTTTTTTGTCCGCGGCGTTGTCGAAAACACCTATAGTCTCTGCCTGTCGAACGTGTATCAACTGGCAACACTGTACGCTCTAAAAGCATTGCAGCAAATCCCTCATCACTTGACCAAAGTCGTTAGGTCGCGTTTGTTGACCAGTCTAGGTTAAATGTAAAAATTTTTTTAATTCAACATATTTCTACTGGTTCGTAGCTCTTCAAAAATTTAATGTCAATAATATGTTATCGTATTCCCCTATTATACTAAATTTTACTAAATTATTCCAAGATAATCATAATTAAATTTGTATGAAATCCAATTACAAGATTATTAACATCAGTTAGATAAATTAAAAAATTAACCTGATGTCTAACTTATAAAGAAACATACATGCATATCAATTTTATCCAAGGTGATTAAAAATATATCAAAATAAGTTTTCAAATGGTACTTCAAATACTTGAATCGCTCGATTTATTTCTCCATAAGTGAAGTATTTGAGCAACCTATCGCCAGCTAGCAATGTATTACATTTCAGCGATTTCGATTTCAAAATCTGAAGACAATAAATTATAAAACATTTGCAGTAAAAAAATTAACTTTACAATTTATCGCCGGAATTTTTTTCCATATATCGGTTCCTGGCGCTTGACAATATTGAGGAATAAAGGCTGACTATTGAGGTGTTAGATCCACTTAAAGTGAGTAACAAGTGTGAAATATTTTTTTTCTTTTCTATCACAAGGTATGAATTTATATCAATGATAGACAGCGTAAAGTTGTTGTGACTTTGAAAACATTTCTATTTGCTGGCCGACTTTCAGAACCAAATAATGTAGTTACTAGTTATATGCTTTATGTAAGTACTTTGAAGTGTCTTCAAAATGTACTTTGACTTGCTGTAAGACAACTTAAGAATAACTTGA